CGGGAGTAAACTCACACATCCATGTATGTGGCATGTTTCACAGACTTCACAGAGCTTTTAACTCAGGCTACAGAGTTTTCAAGCATCTAAAACGGACCTTTTCGGAAAGCCCCATTTTACTGTGAAAACCCTGGGGTTGCATTGTAGTCTCCACGGCCAGGAAGTGATGATGTAGACACCCATGGTCACTTCCTGATTGGGTCTTATCAGCCTCGCCTACCAGTGGTGAATGCAACATGAATAACGAATAACAAGCTTTATTGACCCTGTTGTCTTTGCTAGCAGCTGTGCAGTTCAGTTCTGCATTTTAACACTACAGCTCCCTTTGCTATTTCTTGTTTGTTGTACTTACTGCAACTAAACAACTGCAGAGTAGCCGATTTCTGCACCCTGTTTACACCAGCTCGCAAATGCCAAGTGTACATGAACGATCATGTATGTATGCGTTTTCAGGTGTGTTAGTATGGACAGAGATAATTTCTGATACAGAGCGAAAACGGTTGTCTAGACGGAGATTGTTGTCATTTTCAAACCTACGCTGTTTTAAAATGAAAATGTAGTAATGTGTACGTAGCCTAAGACTACAAGTGAGTTCATGGAGCTTCACAAACTGCTAAACAAAAGCTCAGAGCATGTGTGTCACTGCGGCACCAGCTCACACCTAAATCAAACTCTTTGTAAAAATTAAAACCATGCTTGTATCTTGGTCCCTCAGACTCTCCATGTTTTAGTCTCTCTTTCTCTCATTTTTCTTGCTCTGCTGTTTAAATGACCTGTTATCCAGGATGCAAAAAATAACGCTTTCATTTTAACAACCAGTGATGTCAGCCCAGTATCTGGACAGCACATCGACATAGAATGATCCTGCAAACCTCTCAATTATATAATATCAAATGAGTTTTACTCTTTTAACATTCAATACTAAGATTTATTAAATAATTTATTTGCACATTATTCTCACTACAGAATGGGTAAGTGTGGTATAGATTCATGCTTTTAAAAGCAGCATTGCAGGATTGGTGCCAGGTGTAACAAATGATCAGCTCTCCTCGCATTGGGGCATGCTGAGACTGGCAGCTAATTTCCAGCAACCAGAAAGTCTTTGTTTCCAGAGTGCAGTACTTTGTGTGTGTGGCTGATGCACACCGCAGCCCTCCAACGCATCAGCCATCAGAGTTCAATAGTTGAAGTTTTAATAATACAAATGATAATAACTGTATTCATTATTCTCTGGCATTGTGAATTGTACTGGAACTTGAATTAGACTAACATCATGTCTTATATAGTGTCTGAGCCTCTAGCAGATTTCACATACATAATATCTGGATGACTCTGACTCAAATTAAAGGCAGGATTCTGGGGTAAGTTTTGACAAAGATCCTCCGGGGCAGAGCACAAGTGCAGAATCATCTTCCCTGAAAGGAACAAGCCAGGCAGAGTATATTGTCAAAATGCAGATAATTGACCCAGAGGAGCGCAATCACAGCGACTGTGTCATTAATGCTTTAATAAGCAATTGTCAATTATCAGGACCTCGCCTGACATTGCAACCTTCCCCCTACGGGCACTGCATAGTGTGGGACTCAAAAAAGCAATTAAAAAGTAAACTATTGTGACACAGAAATGGCTTAAAGAAATGTGAAGAAACTTTTCTTTTTCTTCTCCTTAGATTCATATTGTGACTCACTCAGGATGAGAAGAGTTTGATTTCACTTGTTGGCGTCATCCTCGTAAAAAAAAAAAAAAACAGACTAAGTCACCATGGAAAGAGGCTCTGAAATATGTGGTGTTTTGCAATGACCTAAATCTTATAGGTCTGAAACACGACTTGTGGGATACAGGCCTAGATTTAGTATGCTGGGATTTATGTTCATGCTTTCCAGGGGCAAATGTCATTTCAAGCAGATACAAATGTTCAAAAAAAGTCCCCCATTTAGAGCAAGCAGACAGCCTGGGGACAAATGTAAGACCCAGAAAGTTGGTAATCTTTGAACTGAACACAGAGCCACCAAATCATTAAAATAGTAGAAACACTGAGGATGCAGTGGGCTCACATGGTTAATTCTGAGAGTTACACAAGACCAGGATCCAAGGATCCAGAGAAACTACATTAGACAACATTACCACTAATATGGTTACTAGAGTTTAATCCTACGCCCACCGCACATCAGATGAGCTCTAATTCACTTCACACCACAAACGATTGGTGTGAAAATGTTTACGTAACTCAGCCCACGGTGGCTGCGTTCATGAGTAATCTCTTCCAGATTAACCCCTTGATGGCCTCCTTTGGCAAAGGAGTTCAAAGGTTAAGAGTAGCTAAATCTTTACATCTGATGCCGACTTAAAGTACAACAAGCTCACTTTAGATTCACTGTTGTTCCCCGGGTGCCAACAGTGGGTGGGGATATCTGTCAATATTTGGTATACGTTGACTTTTGATTGAGGCAGAGGGAAAGTGTGTTTCTGTGAGCAAAGCACTGTGTCACAACAAAAGTTTAAATGTCTTATTAATTCAGGCTGATATAAATCTAGAATATTTCCACTTTATCTTAGGGTATCTTGCTCCTTTAAATTTGGTTTTAAAATGTGCCACACAAGACCGAAGTGATGCATTAAATACTCTCATGACATCAATCAATTTTAGAGTCATTACAAATCTTAAGTATACTGTATATACATCAGACATAGGGTTACAGTGTGAGCCACAACAGTGCTGCAAATCTGAACATTTTAACCTTAAAGAGAAAGATGCATTTCATTTGCTTATTTATTTCAGCATGCAACAGTTCTGGACCCCTGATAAAAAAAAAAGCATTTCCTTTCACATTTCAGCAGCAGGGCCTGCTGTGTGTGTCCCGTCACAGCGGTTGTTTGGCCACATATTGTTCCTCTACTCCAGCGCCATGAATGTCACGACTGCAGCAACAGGCTCCACTAAAAGAGCACAGGCCTTATTACGCCCCCAGGTCACCAATATCCCCTCAGCCTTCACAAAACCCAGCTTATGGAATCAGATACACTGCATAGCTGGACAAATTACTAGCCGACAGCCTCCCATCCGTGCTCAAAGTTTTAGCCCTCATGTATTTTTTTTTTTTTTTCACCTCTTCCTCCTGTATTCAATTTGTCAGGTGGAAACTGGGTATGAAAAATGGTTGTTGTTTTTCAATGGAGCCACAGGGGTCTGAATTGCAGTTTATCCTTGTGTGACTGACAATAAATAAGACTGATCACTCATGCCAACGAGATGCATTATGAACATCAAATTAATTATGACACTCACTGAGTGATCACCGTGGATAATTATTTGGGGATCGTTTATCAGAGGTAATGATAGAATAGTGGACTTAGGATGCAAGTGTTTTCTCAGAAAGGAGAATCTAATTTGGCTCTTGCTGAGTGCAAAGCCTGCCGTCACCTTTGAAGGAGGCAGACTGACTGGGTGACTAAACAGCTGAATATAGCAAAGACGCAGCCAATTGGATTTGGAAAGTGAAACAAATAGCTGTGACCCGTGGTGAGTTCAACGGTAACTGAGTCAACTGACTAATTTGATCAGCAGGTACCTGGATGGATGGCACCTGCTCGCAGGAAAGAATCCATTAAAAGGATTCATTCTTTGTGTGTGTGTGTGTGTGTGTGTGTGTGTGTGTGTGTGTGTGTGTGTGTGTGTGTGTGTGTCTACATAAGCAAGCTCGAGGCACATGTGAGGAAACGTGGTAGTGTGTCATGTTTGTCTATTGGCAGGCTTTTTTTTCAGGCTGTGTTAAAGGTCTATCCCATAATTGCATCCTATATTCACACACTCATTATAGGAGACTGGGTGGTGGCACTGTAAATACAGCATGAAAGTCGGGAGAGGACAGAGAAAGAGTGAAAAAAAAATCAATGTGATTGAGTGTTCTGTGTGGAGCTTATTATACCAGTGGACTTCCCTACAGTGCATCCTATTTTGAGAGGTGGAGGGGGAGAAGATGTGGAGCTGGGGGGGGGGGGGCAAAGCGGCTTGTTTACAAAACGCAACCAAATCTAAATCCGCTCACATTTATAGCCTGCCACAGACACATGGCTGGGATCACGTGGTCATTGACATCTGCCGAGCAGTATCACAAAACCACAGAGTTGACAGCTTACATTGTCTGGGAAGTGATTAAGTGGGATATGAGGCTATAATGGCCACAATAAACTGAGTCCACAAAAAAGAACAAACTGGATTTGGAAACTGGAGCTTTATATTCATATAAGGCTGCAAACGATGATGTAAAGCTGAAGTGAGTTTGAACTGATGACACTGATGGCGCTTCACCTACTTGTTAATTTTACTACACATCCCACAGCGATTCGTCAGATCTAAACAATGGTGCACAGTTCTCCTTCTCCCAGCATCATCCTCTTATCTGTGTCTAGAAGCCCCGTCTCTGCCATTAACCCACACACAAACAGTCTCTCTGGACACCGTGACGCACTTGGCTTTATCAAGAGGTTCTTCAATTAAGTAAAAAAACAAAACAAAAAAAAACAATCACAGCTTCAGTGCTTAGTGAAGACGTTTAAGCTTTTTTGCTCTATCCATTTAAATCCCCTAAAAGTGGGATATCATGTCAGTGCAACACTATGCGTAGGCCCATATAGCCTGGGAAAAGGGCACAAAAGTTGAAATTATAATTGCTAATTAGCAGTATTAAGTCAATGAGTGTAAACTCATTGGGAAAACACAAGAGCCCTATTATGGATATTTCAGGGGTTTATATCATGTCAGTGAGATAAAAGTTGGAAATCTTAGCATCCAAACATTTCCCAACCGCCGTTTACTTCTCTGTAATCTTGTGGAAACTATAAGTTTACTGCAGTGGACTCAAGACTAAAGTCGTCAGAGCAGAATACTCTTCCTCATCGCAGTCCCTCAGTAACGATCACCTGCTCGAGGCGATGATGCTGCTGCGGCGCATCCGAAGGACGACGAGAGGAGGAGAGGAAAGTTGAAAGGTGAGTCTTACCTTATAATCGCCGTGTCGCCCTGGCGGATGGTTATGTTGTCGGTGGCCCGCTGCATATCCACACTCCGGACAGGGAATCCTGTGGGGATAAGACACAGCAGTCTGAAAAAAGAAGCCTGCAATTGCCTCCAACACGATTTGCGTCCGGCTTGCATTTTAAAGCACAGGAGCGCGCGTTTCAAGAGCTAGATCCAAGGGTTAAAAAAATATTGAGGGAGGAACTGGAGTAGTTGTCCAGACTTCTTCGGGGAAAATCGGGATGCCTTTAGGTCCAAAGCAGTCCGGAATGAACGGGCGATACAGGTTTCCTAAAAGACTTTTGGGACGAAATCGTGCGGTGATGTGCGGGGTCCTCGCTCTATAGTCCACTGATGCGTAATACTCTCCGCGCAAAGGGACGGCACAGCCAGCGGCGGCGATGGAGAGAAGCAGGCTTCTATTCAGAGTCTGGGAAAATATCATCCCACCACCACCTCCTCTCTCTCTCTCTCTCTTTCTCTCTCTTTCTCTCTCTCTCGCTCTCTCTCAGATTATCCAGCCGCCTGACTGTGATGCTCCCCTTATTGGTTGTCAGGACAACAGCACCACCTGAGGTCCCTTTTGGTGAGACACAACTGAGTGAGGACTGAGGAATAAGGGACAAAAGCATTAAAACTGGGATGCTGAGAATTTTTCTGAAGGAAAAATACACGTGTGTTTTGCGCAGGAATATTCAGAGGAGCAGTAACGATGCCTCCTGCATATTTGGACATGAGTCTCCAAAAGAGGACAAAGTGGCCCTGAAAATCCTAAGAGAAACATACATTACCAAGCCTGACTAGGTCCCAAGGGCAAATAATCTATAGTCACTTTTATCTCCCGCGCAGGTTGAAGAGCCATGCAGAAAGAACTCTACCCTGTGGGGCTCACTAGAGTACATACATCTATATTAGGTCTTCAAAACAAACTGTCCTGCTCACCAGGTATTGCCAGTTTATCTGTGCTGCCTTTAGTTTTCCACGATCCAAGCAGATTTAACTTTGGACGAATGAACTCTTCAGTGCGAAGTACAGGATTTCTGTAGTTTATTTATGAATCTTAGTGTGGAAATTTACATGCTAATGTGCGTTAAGTGTTGATCAGTGGAAATCTGTAGAAAACCTCTTAAACTCATTAAAACCGTCCTCTTATTAATTTTTGAAGTGGATTTATTTGTAGTTTGGAAAAAGTTTTTCACAGAAATTGGGTAGCCCACCGGATTTGCTTGGAAACATTATTTCAACTATGAAACTTTGTATTCAAGTCTATTTCTGCTCATGGTCTGCTCATCTCTTCTTTTACACAGAATGAAGTGGATCAAAAAAGGTTGAAGAAAAAAGTAGATCCAGAGTTGCAAACACTCTGCCTGACCATAAAGGTGAAGCTCAGCCTGTGTGCATGAGAGTGTAACTCAGATCGTAACACGTATCTTGTCTAGACTGTCGCCCGTCATGGACTGCCAATGAGGCTGTAGCTCAGGTGGGTAGTCTAAATCACTTTCAACCTAAGCAAGGACACTACAGTTTAGCAATGTGATGTGCCTTCCAACTTCAACAAAAATGTGACACGAATGAAGCCCTCTAATTTACCACTTGCCAATCAAGATGCTTTAATAGGCAATGTTTCTCTTTGGTATTCTAGCTGAGTTTTTGTATAATTTAGGACGCTATTTGAGATTTTTTTTTAATTACTTTTTTGTTTTTTTTTTTTTCATCTTTGAGTTTAGACGAGTACAATTGGCGGTTATGCATTATTTGTTTCAAGAATACTTAATATAATGTGAGTCATTGATCAGTCGTTGCACGGTGCGTCTCCTAATTTTGTTTTGGTCTCGGGGGGTAATTGGTAATAATTCACGATCAGGCACATAACGAAGTCTTTAAATTCTAGTGCTCAAACTCTGCGCATGGATACAAAAAGTGGCACGCAGCATGGTAAGAATGATAATATGTAAGATGGATCAGAGTATTACATTATTGCATTTGCACTGCAGCACACAATTATCTCTGAACGTAATTAATGTTGGCAATCATGAGTTCCTGCACTTAGCCTGGCAGCTGGATTGAACCATGCGTAAAGGGAGCGGTGATTGGTTAGCCTGACTTATAAGGATCAGCAGATTTAGCATGAGATAGATTGCAAAACACCAGTTTTTACAGCAGTGCGCCTAGGCTGTGACATGTAGGCTTCAAAGCTCGATTGGGAGGAATTGGAAGTGCCGATGTAAGCGCAGCTGAAAGGGACTACAAAGAGGACAGTGATATAGGGATGGCATGGAGGTGCTAATATTTTGTGTATTAGTTTAAGGAGCACTAAAATGTTTTCAGAGAAGGATGCTTGCAGAGCTTTTCCGACTTCGGGCCCTTAATAATCGGTGGCCTGCCTGTTACCATTTCCTCAAACATTGGAGGTTTAGATATCTTGGAGATTGCACAGTTTATGAAAGAAGCATATCATTAAGAACAATTAAAAAGGGACAGCTGAGCTCGAAGGAGGAAGAAGAGCGCTGCTTTGCCTACCACATTTATACAGGAATGGTCCACGGATGGGCTTTTAGCTATGTCTATAGTTTAGAAAATTCTTCAAAGTCTGAGAATTTGTGTTGTGGGTGTTTGTTGGTCTATGTGTGTGTGTGTGTGCGTGTATAGGGTTAGATCTTCTTGCATGGGCAAGAGATGGGAAGGAGAGGCCCAGAGACAAGCAGCTTTAACCAGTTCTACAACACAAGGCCAGTGGATCTCTCTACCGCCACACTGGCAACACATGCACGCATTAACCACACATCACACAACCAGCCGCACACACACACCACCTTCAACCACAGCACACACACAACACACACACAGCAACACTGGCAACACACACACCACACAACACAACAACAAACAACAAGAACTGGAAAACGAGGGGTTATTATCATGCTGTGTGGGATGCTCTTCAAGTTGGTGGTGTTCACGTTAGACAGCGGGTGGACCTACATTCTGCTGCGGTGTACATTATATAAACCGTAAGCAAAGCAAAGAAATTTTAATTTTCTAACAGGCACTTTTTTCTTTGAACACTGTATTCATCAAAATGCTTTACTATGAAAGAGCAGAAATCAGATAGAAGAAATAAATAAACAAGATACTAGAAATCAGATAAAATATAAAGGGGAGCGATATAAGACCCAAGTTAACCGAAATACTGCTTGTTTACTGCTGTCTGAACAGATGTGTTTTTAGCAGCTTTTTAAGAGTCCAAACATTAAGCTTACGGACTGGCTGTGGAGTCCTCAGGTTCTTAAATGTGTCCAAGTACACTTACAAAAATTGTTTAGAAGACCGTAGAGTTGGCTTCACGGTTTGGTGCTACAGGATGGCTATAATATACTGTGGAGCACTAGCATGCGGTTCTATATAGTAAAGCCAAATTTTTAAAATGTATCCCACGGAAAGCACACACGAGAGGTTTTAACTGTGTAAAAGTGACCATCTGTTGATGTGTTAATGGTTTGTAAAAGTGTAGGAGATTTATGAACACAGGTAAACAGAGAATTATAGTAATCCAATTGTGAATGAAAAAGCATGTATAGCATCTTCCTTTCATTTCTTTCTTGACACAGACCTTGATTTTGGGTTTGGTTCTAAGGCGGTGGAAGATGGTGAATCCTAAGCATCAAAAACTTTGGGTCAAAAATTCACACCAGGATTACGCGACTAGACCTGAGAAGATGAGGTTGAGGCTGAGTTTCTACCTTGACGCTGAATGTAGTTTATTTCTTTGTTGTATCTGCATAAACTCTGCAGTTTCTTAATGCATTTTATCAGTTGTTCAGGACAGAATGTTAATGAAACGCATCAGGTTTAATTGAGAATACAGCTGAGGCATCAATCAGCATATAATAAGGAGATGCCGTAAAACTACTTGGATAATCTTCTGCCTGGAACAATGTATAAATGGATGAATAAAATGGTGTCAAATATACTGTATGTAACACAAATAGCCTGTTGTAAAACTTGGTTATTGTTAGCTTTTAGATTAAAAAACTCTCAATCCATCCCATTTGAAGACGCTGAATTGCCAAATAACAGAAGATGGCACACGTGGAGCTTAGAGGCAAAAGACCTTTATTTTGATTCTGTTCTCTGGTGTTGTATACAGCACATTCCCCCTGTTGTAGACCTCATTTATTAGTGTATATAATGCAGAATATGAGACAGAGAATAGAGTACCATGGCCCAACTTTTCATTGCATCGGCTGGCAAACACTGCAGTAATGAGCAGAGGGCCGAGAGAATATGCAATAATAGGGTGGTGAAATTCACAGCATATATTGGGTATTTCTACAGGTCTATAAGTTTTTGCAGTCTGTGATAGATAAATGATGAGTCACACGATGGCAGAAGGGAGGAATTATCTGTGGAGGGAAGCAGAACATGATCTATTATTAACTCTGTAGTTTTCAACCAGAACGGTGATCACCAAGGCACCGCCTCAGGAAGCTTTTTTTTATTGAAATACACAGAGACTAATGTAAATTGTAATAGAACATGTCGCTTCTTCACTGATGGGGCAATCACACTGCATGATTTATCCGCTGATCGGGGCTCGTTAAGGGCTGAATTCAAACTGCAAATATCTCTAAATGTGGTTAGCAATAGTAGAACTTGGCTCTTTGTACTTTTTGACACAGTCTGCGATCAAAGGGCAAGCATGTAGATCTATTTCATTAATCACATTAAGAGGTTGCTGAACTTTTTTCCACAATCCATTAGTCATAATGACTCTGGCAGAGCGTCTCTGCACGGCCCCGGCCGATCACAAAGAGAAGAAGAGGAAGAAGAAGAAGCAGAGCAGGCGAGAGAAATGTAGATGCACGACTTGATTATAAGATGTGTATGTAAAAAGCCTAAAAAGCAAGCAAAACAACTCTTAAACTGTGTGTAATGTACTGTTCTTAATCATAATGTTCAGAAAGAACCAAGGTTCCAGTCTGTGAAAATGAGAATCATAATGGCACAGAGACTGTTTCGTTGATTCGGAGTGTGAAGTCTGAAGTTTGTTATTTTATAATAAAAGAAAAAGCTAGTACTTAGCACAGTTTGGTGCTTAAATTTACGTCAAATAACAGTCAGGATATGATTAATTAATTGTCCACAAAAAATCTTCAAGGACTTGCCCCAAAATACTTCCTTTCTGGGGTAATTGGGTAGCAAAATAACTATAATGATCTCATAAAATAGACATTGCAGTTTCATGCTTTCTTGTTTAAAAAAT